AGACCTCTCTCCGGTCGCACATCATTGAAGTGAGGCCAGCGTCAAAGTTTCTAGAAACTTGCAGAGCAAATCCTGGCACATCAGACCTCCTGAATCAGAAGTGAAAGAAGTAAATCTGCAATAAACAATCTAACTGAGCAATTTGCATGCACATGTGTATATATATTTGCCCTTACTACTGATTGTCAAGCAACCAGGAGGGAATCATGGGTTGATGCTATGAACGTTGAGTGCGACATGGAGGAGGGGGGAAGTTCTGTCAGCCGAGGGGCCCCCATAGAAACTATAACGGGGAGGAGGAGATGCAGGAAATGGAGAACGTTAATTCGGCCTAGGGATCGTGGAAATTTAGCAACTCTAAATCGGTCTCCTGATGTGGTAAGTTGGTGTACCCAGGATGGCGGTCCCTCTGGATTGAAGGTGGTGCTGTTGAACGCCAGATCTATCAATGGTAAAACAACTTTCATCCAGGATTTAATCCTGGATGAGCGGGCAGATCTGGCGTGCATTACGGAGACCTGGTTGGATGAAGCGGGAGGCGTGAATTTGACCCAGCTTTGCCCACCAGGTTTCTCCGTGCAGCACCAACCGAGATCCGGAGGGCGGGGTTGCGGTGGTCTATAGAAATACCATTTCTCTGACCAGGGGCCCCATCCCACAGTCAACAAATTTTGAATGTGTCCATCTGAGGGTGGGTGACCGGGACAGAATAGGGATTCTGTTAGTGTACCGCCCACCTCGCTGCACTACAGTCTCCCTACCTGAGCTAGCAGGTGTGGTCTCGAGCTTGGCCTTGGAGTCCCAACGGGTCCTAGTGCTGGGGGACTTCAATGTACACGCCGAGGCTACCCTAGTAGGAGCGGCTCAGGACTTCATGTCTTCCATGGCAACCATGGGGCTGTCCCAACGGGTATCTGGCCCCACTCACAGTGCTGGACACACGTTGGATTTGGTTTTCTGCCAGGGATGGGAGCATGGTGGCGGGGTTGAGGAGTTGTCCATCTCTCCGTTGCCATGGACCGACCACTACCTGGTCAGATTTAGACTCACTGCACCTCCTAACCTCCGCAGAGGTAGGGGACCCATTAAGTTGGTCCGCCCCAAGAGGCTTATGGATCCGAATGGATTCCTGACGGCTCTTGGGGATTTTCCCGCCTCTTCGGTAGGTGACCATGTCGAGGCCTTGGTCGCTCTCTGGAATGGGGAGATGGCCAGGGCAATTGACATGATCGCTCCGGAACATCCCCTCTCAAGTAGCCGAGCTAAACCAGCTCCTTGGTTCACTGAGGAGCTGGCAGTGATGAAGCGAAGGAAGAGGGAACTAGAGAGCGTGTGGCGTTCGGATCTGAGCAAGCCAAATTGAACATGGTTTGTGTCCTTTCTAAGGGCATATGCCTTGGCAATAAAGGCCGCAAAGAAATCTTGCGTCTGCAAAGAACCGTCCGGCTGAGCTGTTTCGAGTTGTCAGAGGCCTTTTAAATCCCATCGCTCAGGATGGGAGCCCTGACAACTCGGCAGCCCGCTATGAAGCTTTTGCTCAGTTCTTTGCAGACAAAGTCGCTTTGATCCGTTCTGGTCTGGATACCATATTAACGGCAGCCTCTGAGGATGTAGCTGGAACATCTGCTTGTCCGCTTTTAATGGATTCATTTCAATTGGTAAAATCCGAGGATGTGGACAAGATACTTGGAGGAATGAGGCCTACCACATGCATCCTAGACACCTGCCCATCCTGGCTTTTGAAGGAAGCCAGAGGGGGATTGGCCGAGTGGGTAAAGGTGGTGGTTTTGTGATATTTTGCATTGTTGTGTAAACCGCTTTGAGTCGCCTAAGAGCTGAGAAAAGCGGTATAGAAATAAAGCAAATGAATGAATAAATAAATAAATAAATAAATAAATAAATATCTTCTATTTATCTCCCTCTCTCCCTCTCTGGCTATCCCTCCTGATCTTAGGGAGGCGGGATGTGCCTTTCAATGAGCCCAGGGGTGCATGCCTTTGGGGCCCCTTCCTTCCCCATTCCAGGAGGGTCTTCCAGGTTGTCACCCACTGGCAAAGATCCTGCAAGACCCGGATGATGACGAGGCAGGAATGCAGGCTGTTGGCGTGGGCCTTGGGCACAAAAGGAGCAGGAGGAGGGAAGAGGTTAACAAGGTCTCCTTCCTCGTCTTCCTGCCCTGGGATTTCGCCGCCCGTCCTCCCACCTGCCACCTCTCTCACTCACCTGGAACCACTTGGTGTGTCGGAGGGCAGTCAGGGACTCCAGGCACTTCTCCGGGTCCAGGACCTCGCCAGGGTCCAGCCATGCGTCCACAGGCACCTCTAAAGGGGACCCCAAGTCAGAATGTTGTGCCTCTGACTACCTTCAGGGACTTCAGGGAACCCTTCAGGGGGCTTCAGGGAACCCTTCCCTGGCCAATGACCGGCCTCCTTGTGGGGCTCCTCACACAGCAGCGGAGAGGTCAGTGACACCGTCACCTGCATTTGGGGCCACTTGCAGGAGGCAATGACGATGCTGGCCTCCTCTGCCTTGTAGACCACCTCGTAGCCCTTGCTCATCACCTTCTGGGGAAAGGAGACAGGCAAGGAGGGATGTACATGTGTATGTGTGTACACACAGAAACACATATACAGTATAATAAATGTAATGTTCATTTGTGGGATTAACATAACTCAAAAACCATTGAATGAATTGACACCAAATTTGGACACTATACCCCTAACAGACCAACAAGTGACCATAACTCATAAACACCCCAAAAAAGCAGTGGAAAGGACTTAAAACCCCCCAAAAGCAACATGACGACACAGCACATGCATAAAAACGACTCCCTCCCCCCTCCCCCATCCATGTGAGGGAAAAGAAAACAAACAGCCGCCTCAGCTCTCCTTTGCCCATGCCTGTGCTACAGTTACATAGGAAGGCTGCAGCCCACAGTGGGTGGCCTTGGCCCACAGCAGTTCAAACCCCATTCCTGTGACCCCAAAGACTGCGGCAGTTGGGAGGAGCGATGAGCACACCTGAGGGTGACGTGAGAGCACAAGTAAAGAGCCAGAAATATAGTACAGGTCAATAACTGCCTTAGAAAATGGTGTCAGGAGGAACGCTTTGGCTTCCTCGACCATGGCCTGCTTTTCCAGGAGGATGGCCTACTGGCAAGGGATGGGGTGCATCTCACACAAGTAGGAAAACACCTTTTTGCTCATAGACTCGCAAACCTCAATACAAGCACTTTAAACTAGGTCTACTGGGGGAGGGGGACAATAGCCTTGCAAAGAGAGGGCTGCACAAACACAACGAGGACCAAGTACCGAAAGCACAATAATCCCAAATAAACAGCTCAGGGGAAGGTCTCAGGGGCTCAAATGTCTTTACACTAATACACAGAGCATGGGAAATAAGTAAGACGTACTCCGACTTTTAGCACAACACAACAATTATGATGCCATCGGCATCACTGAAACCTGGTGGGATGAGTCCTATTGCTGGAATGTAGACATCGAGGGCTATAACCTCTTTCACAAAAACCGAACAAAGGGGAGAGGAGGCGGAATAGCCTTGTATGTCAAAAACTGTTATGCTGCAGAAGAGATGCAAGACTGCAATCCGGGAAACCAGCTTGAAAGCATCTGGATAAGAATCAAGGGATAGAAGCAGAATTCAAAACGATCTTGACAGATTAGAGAGATGGGCCAAAACTAACAAAATGAAGTTCAACAGTGACAAATGCAAGATACTCCACTTAGGCAGAAAAACCGAAATGCAAAGATACAGAATGGGGGACAATGCCTGGCTCGAGAGCAGTACGTGTGAAAAAGATCTTGGAGTCCTCGTGGACAACAAGTTAAACATGAGCCAACAATGTGATGTGGCGGCAAAAAAGCAAATGGGATTTTGGCCTGCATTAATAGGAGCATAGTGTCTAGATCTAGGGAAGTAATGCTACCCCTCTATTCTGCTTTGGTTAGACCACACCTGGAATATTGTGTCCAATTCTGGGCACCACAATTGAAGAGAGATATTGACAAGCTGAATGTGTCCAGAGGAGGGCGACTAAAATGATCAAGGGTCTGGAGAACAAGCCCTATGAGGAGCGGCTTAAGGAGCTGGGCATATTTAGCCTGAAGAAGAGAAGGATGAGAGGAGATATGATAGCCATGTATAAATATGTGAGAGGAAGCCACAGGGAGGGGGAGGAGGGAGCAAGCTTGTTTTCTGCTTCCCTGGAGACGCGATGGAACAATGGCTTCAAACTACAAGAGAGGAGATTCCATCTGAACACGAGGAAGAACTTCCTGACTGTGAGAGCCGTTCAGTAGTGAAACTCTCTGCCCTGGAGTGTGGTGGAGGCTCCTTCTTTGGAAGCTTTTAAACAGAGGCTGGATGGCCATCTGTCAGGGGTGTTGGAATATTCCTGCTTCTTGGCAGGGCATTGGACTGGATGGCCCATGAGGTCTCTTCCAACTCTTTGATTCTATGATCTGCCCTTGCGCATTGCTATTCTGCTGCTGAATATGCATGCCCAGTGTGAAATACATCACACATTATAACAATGGATGTGGCTCTTAATGAGACATGCCTCATTATCTCAGGATGTCTACACCCCACACCATTTAAATGACCAAGGCAGTGACATCTCCAACTCATCCTGTGTTCAGATATCAGCCAGCATGCCAAGGCCTTAAATCAAGAAATAGTTCTCTAAGATCTACAGAGATACTTGCTGGCACCAGAAGGGAACAAAAGGAAGTGCTAGATATGAGGCACAAACCGGATAACACAGCTCAAGGCGGTCACTATAAATCCAAGCTGCACTTTAGTTTTGCATGACATGTTTTCTTGTTTACCCAGCAGGGTGATTGGATCAAATAAATCTGTTGAACATTTTCCTTGCCTCCAAAGTTTGATTGCCTAAAAGGACTTTAGAGGTTTTGGTAAGAGAGGGATACGACAGCTTGTCCCCACAACGCTGCGAAGGAAAGGTAGGAAAGGAGACTCACCAGGAGGGGAGGGATGGGGACTCCGAGGTGGCCCATGAGGGTAAGGGGGTGCCAGTCAGCTGCCAGGAGCCTCCTCCGCTGCTGCTCCTCCCAGAAGAGCTGCTCCTTTTCCATCTGCCACCAGTACATCTTCATAGCGCCTGCAGGGGAGAGGGGTCAAGAAAGAAGGAAATGAACAAGAGAGAAAGAAATGAACCAACTCTACAAGGACACTCCAGGGGGACGGGGGTAGGCCTTGCCTCATTTCCAGGTGCCAGCGCTGCTCTTCCTCCCGGCGCAAGTGGACCAGAGCTGCTTGTGCAGCTTCTCCTCCTGCAACATCCAAGTCTGGTTGCTGGGCTTGATCTCTCCCAACCACTCCAAATCCCCTGGGGACCCTTGCATCAACAGAAGAGGAGGAGTGTTTCTGGGACTCAGCTGGAAATCCCTTGTACTGCAGGTGGTGCTGACACCCCTTCAGGTGCATGTCTTTGGCCTTAGGATCGTTGAAGCTGCACTCGCACAGCTTGCAGTGGAAGCACACCATATTGTATTCGCTGTTGAGGACCTGCAGATGAGAGAAGACTCTCTTCAGATCCAGCATCTCCAGCCCCATACCAACCTTTGCTCCCTCCGTCTTTTCAGGGCCTCACCTCCTCCACATAGTCCTGGCCCACCAGCTGTACATCCAGGAGGTCCCCCAGGCCCTCCCTGGGGTTTTCAAGCGGCGGAGGCGGTGGCTCCCCCGGTGGGGCCTCTTTGGTCAGTTGTAGCCCTTTGGCCTCCTCTGGCTTGGAGTTCGGGGCCTGGGGCTTCTTTGCAGCTAAATGGAGAGAAAATCTGGTCCATTGGCCAAAATCAAGGAGGGAGAAATATCCCTCGGAAAGCAGGCTTGTGACAAGGAGAAATATAGGCAGCCTCCAAGCTACGAACAAGATCAGTTCTGTAGGTTACTGCTTAAGTTCAATTTGTATGTATGCTGCAACACGTGCATTTTGTTGTAAATGTAATTCCAGATGCGTGCGTGCACACATACCCAGAGACTACATATATATACTTTGTCACTCTGGGACTGCCTGCATGTATGTATGTATGTATGTATGTATGTATGTATGTATTTATTTTTCGAACTTATGTGCTGCCACTCCCCTGGGGCTCGGAGCGGCTTACAAGAACAGGTTAAAATCTAACACAATTTAAAAACAATTTAAAACAATTTAAAAACAGCAATATCAAAAATCAAAGGCCTGTCGAAACACGTATGTCTTACAAGCCCTGCGGAAAGCTGATAAGTCCCGCAAGGCACGGACTTCAGGTGGCAGAGTATTCCAGAGTGATGGTGCCACTGCTGTAAAGGCTCTGCGTCTGGTTGCTGTTAGAAGCAAGGTCTTGACACTGGGAATTTCCAATAGATCTTGGTCCTCAGAACGGAGGGATCTCTGGGGTTGGTAGGGGGTGAGGCGGTCCCTCAGGTACATCGGCCCCAGACCATGCAAGGCCTTAAAGGTGAGTACCATCACTTTGAAAGTGATCCGGTGCTCAATTGGTAACCAATGCAGCTGTAGTAAGATTGGTGTTATGTGGCATCTCATCGGAATTCCCGCAAGAAGCCGAGCAGCTGCATTTTGTACCAATTTGAGCTTCCGGATCACCGACAGAGGAAGGCCAATGTAGAGGGCATTACAGTAGTCCAGTCTTGAGATGACCGTAGCCTGGATCACCGTAGCTAGGTCGTCCCTGGACAGGTAGGGGGCCAGCCGTCTAGCCTGCCGCAGATGAAAAAAGCGGTTCTGCTAACGGCGGAGACCTGGGCCTCCATCGTCAGCAGAGGGTCCAAAAGGACTCCCAGACTCTTTACCAATGATGACGGGCGTAGCGCCTCGCCGTCCAGGGTAGGCAGCTGGATATCCCCACTGCCTGGTTGACCCAGCCATAGGATCTCTGTGTTTGCTGGATTCACCCTCAACCTGCTGGCACGCAGCCATCCAGTAACGGCCTCGTGGCACTGATGGAAATAATTGGGTACAGAGTCCGGTCGGCCTCCGGTCGGTCCGGTCGCAGCCATCCAGTAACGGCCTCTATATGTGCAACTATGTGTATGTTTGTGTGTGTGTGTGTATATATATAGGAAAGTGAAGACCTGGTTGTTCGAGCAGGCATTTGAATAGGCAGTGTAATGAACATAGGAATATGGAACAATTGGATGAGACTGGATCTTGATTTTAACTATGAGACACTAATGAGATATTTATTGAGTTATATTGACTGTTTATTATGCTATTTTTTAATTGTTTTTAACTGTTTTATGATGTTTTTGAGCATTGAATTTTGCTGTAGTTAACCGCTCTGAGTCGCCCCAGGGCTGAGAAGAGCGGTATAAAAACATGTGTGTATGTGTGTGTGTGTGTGTGTGTACACAAATACTAATATAAGTCATTTGTAAGTCGGATATTTGTAACTTTGGGACTGCCTGTATGTATGTGTGGTGTATGTATTTATCACTCGGGGACTGCCTGTCTATGTGTGTGTGTGTATACAGTATCATAAAACCAATAATATATAATAGAATATAATATAACAATATAATAAAACTAGTAAAATATAATATATAATAATAAAATATATTAATATAAAACAAGTCATATAATAAAATATAGATGATAAAATAAGATGATAAAACTATTTTTTTTTTCATGTCAGGAGCAACTTGAGTAGTAGTTTCTGGTGTGAGAGAATTGGCCGTCTGCAAGGACGTTGTCCAGGGGACACCCTAAGCATGTTTGATGTTTTACTATCCTGGTGGGAGGCTTCTCTCATGTACCCAATTGGGGAGCTGGAGCTGAAAGAGGGAGCTTACTCACCCTCCCTGGATTCGAACTGCTAGCCTGTCAGTCAGGAGTCCTGCCAGCACAAGGGTTTAACCCATTGTGCCACCAGGGGCTCCTAATAAAATAAAAATATAACAATAAAATAAAATAATAAAATAATAACAAAATAATATTATGTTGTCGAAGGCTTTCATGGCCAGAATCACTGGGTTGCTGTAAGTTTTTCGGGCTGTATGGCCATGTTCCAAAAGCATTCTCTCCTGACGTTTTCCTGCATCTATGGCAGGCATCCTCAGAGGTTGTGAGATCTGCTGTAAACTAGGAAAATTGGGTTTATATATATCCCTGTGGAATAGTGTTCAGGGTGGGAGAAAGAACTCTTGTCTGTTGGAGACAAGTGTGAATGTTGCAAATGGCCATCTTGATGAGTATTGAATGGCCTTGCAGCTTAAAAGCCTGGCTGCTTCCTTCCTGGGGGAATCCCTTGTTGCATGAGCTGGTCCTGATTGATTCTTGTCTGGAATTCCTCTGTTTTTTGCGTGTTGTTCTTTATTTACTGTCCTGATTTTAGAGTTTTTAAATAGTGGCCGCCAGATTGTGTTCATTTTCATGGTTACCTCCTTTATGTTGAAATGGTCCACCTGCTTCTTGTGGATTTAAAATGGCTTTTCTGTGTAGTCGATATGATGGTTGTGAGAGTGGCCCAGGATTTTTGTGTTCTCAAATAATATGTGGTGTCCAGGTTGGCTCATCAAGTGATCTGCTATGGTTGACTTCTCAGGTTGAGTTAGTCTGCAGTGCCTTTTATGTTCTTTGATTCATGTCTACGTTTGGTGGTCCATATGCAGACTTCTTGTTGCGGAGGTGAGAGAATGCCTGTCTTTTGCTGAACAGAACATTTTTTGGATTTTCTTACTGGGTCTGGAGATAGTTAGTAGGTTGTGTTTCTTCAACAGCTTCGTTCTGTGGTCAGTGGTTCACCTGATGAATGGTAAGAACACTTTTCCTCTGGGTAGCTTTGAATGCTAATCAAGGTGGCCAACTGCAACATTCACACTTGCCTCCAATAGACAAGAGTTCTTTCTCCCACACTGGACATCATTCAACAGGGATATATGTATACATATGTATATCTATCTATGTATATAATAAAAGTCAGTGTTTGTATGTGTGTGGCGGGCGGTGTATGTGGCAGCTTTCTGTTTGGCTGCCACTTCCACAGGCCGCTAGAACCTCCACAAATAACTGACCTGGATCAAACTTGGCATACATAACCCCCATGACCCCCTTTACATCCTGATGCGGGTTGGGGGAGGATGGACCATGGATTATGGGATTTGCAGTACTTTCAATCGCTTCAGCTCCCACAGACCACTGCAATGCCCACCAATGATGGAACTGAACCAAACTTGGCACACAGAACCCCCATGACCCACTTTACATCCTGGTGCGGTTTGAGGGAGGATAGGCCATGGATGATGGGATTTGCAGTACCTTCACTCACTTCCAGAGAACACTACAACCCCCATGAATGATGAGCCTCGACCAAACTTGACACACAGACCCAGTGTGGCCCACTTAATGTCCCGGTGCAGTTTGGTGGGGGCTCAAACACAGATGATGGAATTTGCAGTATTTTCATCCAATGTACATCCCACACACCATTGCGATACCCACAAATGACAAAACTGGACCAAACTTGACACACAAAACACTCCATAACCCACTTTACATCCTGTTGTGGTTTGGAGGAGGCAGAGACCACTGTGACTCACAGCAATGACTGATCAAGACCAAACATGGCACACAGAGTCCCCATGACCCACTCTACATCCTGGTATGCTCTGTGGTATGATGGACCATGGATGATGGGACTTGCAGTACGTTCACTCACTTCTTGAGACCACTGCAATGCACACCAATGACTGATCAAGACTAAACTTGGTACACAGAGCCCTCATGACCCACTCTACATCCTGGCGTGGTTTGGAAGAGGACGGACCATGGACAATGGGATATACATTTGGGAGTTGTAGTTCACCCACACCCAATGAACCCAGCTGACACTTGATCTAGACCACTGTTTCTCAACCTGGGGGTCGGGACCCGAGGGGGTCGCAAAGGGGTGTCAGAGGGGTCGCCAAAGACCATCAGAAAACACAGTATTTTGTGATGGTAATGGGGATTCCATGTGGGAAGTTTGAGTCAATTCTATTGTTGGTGGAGTTCAGATGTTCTTTGATTGTAGTGAACTATAAATCCCAGCAACTACAACTCCCAAAAGTCAAGGTCTATTTTCCCCAGACTCCACCAGTGTTCACATTTGCATATTGAGTATTTGTGCCAAGTTTGGTCCAGATCCACCATTGCGTGAGTCCACAGTGCTCTCTGGATATAGGTGAACTACAACTCCCAAACTCAAGGTCAATGCCCACCAAACCCTTCCAGTGTTTTCTGTTGGTCATGGGAGTTCTGTGTGGCAAATTAGGTTCAAATCCATCACCGGTGGAGTTCAGAATGCTCTTTGATTGTAGGTGAACTATAAATCCCAGCAACTACAACTCCCAAATTACAAAATCAATCCTCCCGCAACCCCACTAGCATTTACATGTGGTGCATTGGGTATTTGTTCCCAGTTTGGTCCTGTGAATGAAAATACATCTTGCATATCTGATATTTACATTATGATTTATAACAGTAGTAAAATGACAGTTATGAAGTAGCAACAAAAACAATGTTGTGGTTGGGGGTCACCACAACATGAGGGACTGTATTAAGGGTCACGGCATTAGGAAGGTTGAGAACCACTGAGCTAGACTAAACTTGGAGCAAAGACAAACAATGCCTTTCCCAAATAATCCGGGTACCGCCAGGTCCCCAAGCTAGTATACAGTAAAAGTGAATGTTTGTATGTATGTATGTATGTGGAGGTGTGGATATGTACTGCACATCCCATCGTCTGTTGTCTATCCTCCCCCAAATCGCATCAGGACGTAAAGGGTGTCGTGGGGGTTATATGTGCCAAGTTTGGTCCAGGTCCATCACCCGTGCAGGTCGCCGTGGCCTGTGGAAGTGGGAGCCTTTCAGAAAGCTGCCATGGTCCTTTCACTATTGGCTGCTACTTCCCGGCGGATGTCAGGTGGTGCAATATCAGCTAAGCAGTGTAATTTCTCCAGTGGTGTAGGGCGCAGACACCCCGTGATAATGCGGCATGTCTCATTAATGGTATGTAATAATGGTATGTAATAATGGAGCGTAATAACAGTGATAATGTGGGTTTGCCTGCATTGGAGGTTGTCTGGCTGAGATGGCTTACCTGGCAGGGCTGTCGTGTGAGGGAAGCTCAGGAGAGGTTGTAGAGAGGGCAAGGGGGCCTGCTTGACGGGGGAGTATTTAATAATGGTGATAGTAACAATGGCATTTAATAATAGGCAATAATTGAACTATTCACACATAATATTAAGCTCCATTGTTGCTATATTATTATTGTTCTCTATTATGGAGCTTAATAATAATCATAATGACAATATTGGTGTTTAATAAAGATAATAATAATATTACCTTTATTGAGGCCCTGTAAAGCCAGAATAGCAGTCGGCCGCCATCTTGTCCCCCCCCCCTCTCCTATCAGGAGGGGACGTGCGTGGGGCACGCCGGAAGCCACGCACGGCGTGCTCTCCCCATGACAACAGACCCCGCCCACGCCCTCTCGATCGCTACGCCCTTTCTCCTTCTACCCTGTTGTCAGTCAAGGAGGAAGGGGCGTGGCTTTTTTAAAAAGGCCCTGAGGGGGTGGGGAGAGGCTTTTCGTGACGTCATCTCACACAGAGGTTCCTCCCCCCCCCCTTTCTCTCAAGACTGGTTATATGTATATCTATCTACATCCTATGGTTGGCCCAAGGGGAAGGCCTGTTTTGGACTTGATCCAAGATGGCCACCTTCACACCCTCTGTGGTTTGAGGGGAGAGATCTGTTTGGGCCTAATTCAAGATGGCCGCCCATGCACCCTCTGTGGGCGGCCATTGTGCCAAAGAGTCCATACTGCAAGCCCAGGACCAGCGTAGACTAGGGAATGCCCTGCCTGAGTGGGCCTGGTTCAAGATGGCCGTCCTCATGCCCTCTGTGGGAGGCCATTGTGCCAGGGATTTCAGCAGGCCCGTGCCGAGTGTAGAGTCGGAAATGCACCGCCTGAATGGGCCTGATCTAAGATGGCCATCCTGACACCCTCTGTGGGCAGCCATTGTGCCAAGGATCTCCGTGTACGAACCCACGCGCTCACTTCGTTCATCCGGAGAGGCCCTGCTCACGATTCCGCCTGCGTTGCAGGCGCGTTTGGTGGGGACGCGAGACAGGGCCTTTTCCGTGGTGGCCCCCCGACTCTGGAACACCCTCCCCAAGGATCTTAGACAGGCCCCTACGTTGGCAGTCTTTAGAAAGAACCTGAAGACTTGGCTGTTCCGATGTGCCTTTCCAGAATAGGAATCCTCCAACAAGTCTCAGAAGCACTTTATTAGAAATTAAGATTGCTGGCACACTGCACTTACCCCATAATCCTTACATACCACTTGTCACGTCAGCACTTTTAATCTGTACCCATTACTCTGGCCCGGCCCAGTTTTATTGTGTTTTGGTGTTTTGTTTTATTGCTTGTTGTTTAATATTGCTTTAACTGTTTTAATTTGCATTAGGATGTATATTGTTACGTTGTGTTTTGAGGTCTTGGCCTTTGTAAGCCGCATCGAGTCCTTCGGGAGATGCTAGCAGGGTACAAATAAAGTTAATAATAATAATAATAATTCCTCACCACAGGCATAGGTCTAATTCAAAACACCTGGAGGGAGGGGTGAAGTAGGCCCAGGCCTACCATAGAGTTGGGAATACCATGTTTGAATTGGCCTGATCCAAGATGGCCACACTCATGCTCTTGACTGAAACAGGCTTTGGTTCGTCCACTCCTTAAAAAGGTCTCCTTTGACTCCACGGTGCTGAACAATTTCAGACCAATCTCCAACCTCCCTTTTTTGGGCAAGGTGCTAGAGCGGGTGGTTGCCTCCCAGCTCCAGGGCTTTCTAGGTGACATCAACTACCTAGATCAGTCACAGTCTGGTTTCAAGCCTGGTCATGGCACTGAGACAGCCTTGGTCGCCTTGGTGGATGACCTCCGTAGAGAGCTGGACAGGGGGAGTGTGACCTTGTTGGTTCTCTTGGACATCTCAGCGGCTTTCGATACCATCGATCATGGTATCCTTCTGGGCGACTCTCTGGGATGGGTCTCGGGGGCACGGTTTTGTCGTGGCTCCGATCCTTCCTGGAGGGTCGATCCCAGATGGTGAAGCTGGGAGATGCCTGCTCGGACCCCTGGCCTTTGACCTGTGGGGTCCCGCAAGGCTCTATTTTGTCTCCCATGCTCTTTAACATCTACATGAAACCGCTGGGAGAGGTCATCCGGAGTTTTGGAGTTAGGTGCCACCTCTATGCAGATGACACACAACTCTATTACTCTTCCACCCAACTCCAAGGAGGCCTCTCAGGTGCTGGACGAGTGCCTGGCCGCTGTGGCTATCTGGATGAGGAGGAACAAGCTGAAGATCAATCCCGACAAGACAGAGGTCCTCCTGGTCGATCGTAAACCTGATCGGGGTATAGGGTGGCAACCTGTGCTGGACGGGGTTACACTCCCCCTGAAGCCACAGGTCCGCAGTTTGGGAGTCCTCTTGGGATTCATCGCTTACGCTTGAGGCTCAGGCGTCGGCGGTGTCCGGGAGGGCTTTTGCACAACTGAGACTCATACCTCTGAGGATGCTTGCCATAGATGCAGGCGAAACGTCAGGAGAAATGCCTCTAGAACATGGCTCTATAGCCCGAAAAAACCCACAAGAACCTACAACTGAGACTTGTGCGCCAACTATGACCGTACCTCGCAAAGGCTGATCTGGCCGGGGTGGTACATGCCTTGGTCACCTCTAGATTGGACTACTGTAATGCGCTCTACGTGGGGCTGCCCTTGAAAATGGCTCGGAAATTGCAATTGGTCCAACGGGCAGCGGCCAGGATGTTAACTGGTGCTCCCTCCTGTTCAAGGAGCTCCATTGGCTGCCGTTTATTTTCCGAACCCAATTCAAGGTGCAGGTGCTTACCTACAAAGCCCTAAACAGTTTGAGACCATCCTACTTGGTGACCGCATCTCCATTTATGAACCCACGCCAGGCCCGTAGCCAGGATTTTGTTTTGGGGGGGGGGCTGAATTTTTTTCAGGAGGGGGGGTTGGGGGGGCTGAGTTTCGGGGGGGGGGCTGAGTCTAAGTGAAAGAGGGTCTACCCCTAGCAAACCTTTTGTATCATTACCCCAATACCCCCATGCATATGGGATATATTGAGTATGGTGATCAGATCATGATATGAATAAACATAACAGTTTAAATAATGCACCAGTAAGGCCTTTTGCGAACCACCATGAGAATTTCGGGGGGGGGGGCTGAAGCCCCTCAAGCCGCCTTTTCTGTGGTGGCTCCCCGACTCTGGAACTCCCTCCCCAAAGATATTAGACAGGCCCCTACGTTGGCAGTCTTCAGGAAGAACTTGAAGACCTGGCTGTTCCGATGTGCCTTTCCAGAATAGGAAAACTCCAACAACAAGTCCCAGAAGCACTTTAGTAGAACTTAAGATTGCTGGCACACTGCACTTGCCCTGAAATCCGATATACCACCTGTCACATCACTTTTAATCTGTACCCATCACTTTGACCTGGCCCCAGTTTTTACTGTGTTTTGGTGTATTGCTTTTATTTATTTTTTGTTGTTTTAATATTGCTTTAATTGTTTTGATTTGCTTTAAGTTATGTATTGTTTATGATATGTTTTGAGGCCTTGGCCTTTGTAAGCCGCATCGAGTCCTTCGGGAGATGCTAGCGGGGTACAAATAAAGATAATAAGTCAAGGATCAGGCAGCCACTGAGGCCTTGTCCTCCCAGTACTATCTCAACTGGGGAAACTGGGAAGGCTGTGTTAAACTGGGGAGGCCTGCCCGGGCCTGATTCAAGATGGCTGCCTTCACGCTCTCTCTGGGCCTTTTCAGAGGCCATTTCTGTGACTGAAACCCCTGCTGCATCTTCCTATTTTAACATTGTATTGTCGAAGGCTTTCATGGCTGGAATCACTCAGTTCTTGTGGGTTTTTTCGGGCTATAGGGCCATGTTCTAGAGGCATTTCTCCTGACGTTTCGCCTGCATCTATGGCAAGCATCCTCACCTCTGAGGATGCTTGCCATAGATGCAGGCGAAACGTCAGGAGAAATGCCTCTAGAACATGGCCCTATAGCCCGAAAAAACCCACAAGAACTGAGTATTTTAACATTTATTTGTTGTGTGTTATGTTACAAAATGGCTGCAATCCAACGAATCATAGACATATTATAATATAAGGCTATTATGTTATAACTATATTATTACATCGTCCTTGCATATTATATGTCCAGATAAAGAGTGTCGACGAAAAAGGCCCAAAAGCGAGGAAAATGAGGCCACGCCCTTCGACGCGTTTTAAGCAGTTAGGGTCAAAAAAGAGCAGCGCGCCCGCTGCGCATGCGCCGTCGCTACCGCAAAGAACCGGCCCGCTCCTCTCCTCTCCGGAGAGTTCTTTCTCTTCCAATCCCTTAACAGACGCGCAGGCCACCCAATGGGAGCCACGGTTGGCCAGCGAGGCAGCCAATAAGCAGCGTTGGAAGGGGAGGCGGGCGCTGGGGAGAGGGCGGGAGAGTTCTATCTCCTTCCACCCCTTAACAGACGCGCGGATGGCCCGCGAGTCAGCCAATGAGCAGCTTCGGAAGGGGAGGCGGGAGTTTGGGGAGAAGGAGGGAGAACTTTTTCTCCGCCCACCTCTTAACAGACGCGCGGACCGCCCAATGGGAGTGGCAGTTGGCCCGCGAGACAGCCAATGAGTGTCGGCGGACGTGGGAGAGGGCGTGGCCCCCGCTTGGCTCCGCCTTCCCTCCGCCTTTTTTTGGCTGCTGGCTGAGGGAGCGGACGTTGCGGCGCTTCCTCCTCCTCCTCTTGTCTTCCTCGCCGCTTCGGTTGAGTCTTCCTGGCCTGCTTTCCCCATTTGTCAGGTAAGGCTGCCTCGGGTGAACGAAGGAAAAGGAAGAGGCCGCAAGGACCGTGCGGCCTTGTCGGTGACGTAGGCAGAGGGGCGTGGCCAGAGCGAGAGTGGGTGGGTCCTGCGGGAGAGGGCTAGGCCTGAAAGGGGTGTGGGAGGGGGGCCGCCTACGTCATCAGCAGGCGCCGTCCTCCGGGGTGACGTAGGCCTCGTCAGAGGATTGGGATCCCTCGCCGTTGGGAGGTCCTTTCTTCCCCCTTGGTTGCCGGTATGTTGATGGGAAGGCATCGAGGCCTTCCTCGCAGGGGCCTTTACTTCGAGCCCTCCCACTCGACAGAGGGCCACGCAGCCAGAGACATGGATGGATAAGGTTGAGATGGACAGGTAGAGAGGTAGGTAGCAGGCATGTAGCCGGGGGGGGGGG